ATAACTTCAGGTGCTGGTCCCCTTGCTTGCCGCAGAAGCCGCATGTGCTAGTACAGCCAGCTTTACCTCTATCATTTATACCGATTTTCCAAAAGAAAGTGTCCCTTTTTCTTTTCTTTTTTCTACTAAGTATTAGATTCCCATTCTTACTACTAAAAAGCACTTCCCTAAAGTTCTTCCCAAATCAAAGTTATATCCCATTGTTTGTCAATCTGTCCATTAATCATCTATTCAGTTCCTCCTTGGCAAGTGTACTTTTTTTACACTGTCAATTTCAGTTCCTGTCTAAAAGCGTTGTGCAACCTCGGCCTGATTTCACTTCAAGAAAAGCCCAATGTCTGTTCTTGAAGCAGGTGCAGAAGCGTTGTCCATGCCCCGTTTCTTGTTTTATTTTTCCAATCTCAAGAGTTCTCAGTCTCTTCATCCATTGGTTTCTTCTAACCACCATTTGTCAACCACCCCCACTCTATCTTTGTGTCTTGAGTCTTTAGTCTGCATATTGTGCTTTGGCTATTGTGTTTTTGCCTTTTCTTTATTATAGGAGTGAATGATTTTGTAAGTTTTTTTTAGCTTTCTTGAGTCATACAAGCTATATAGCGTGAATGTCAAAAACTGTTATTGGAAGGGTAAGAAAAAAGAAACTTTTTGTTTGAAATGATGCAAAGTTACTACCTTTATGTTACCTTTTACTTTTTTGCTTTGTCATTGTCAACAGAAACATTAATATCATCTTGGTTGTGTTAAATCAATACTATAATTTGATATCAATTACACTTGTCCAAGTTTTGCTTTTCATCCTGCTGGTAGTTGCCATAATGGTAGCATGTGCTTAAGATGCAAAACTAACTTTAATGATGAGTCTGTCTCTTGAAGTCATGATACCGTTAAAACTTTGGAGATTTACTTGCCTAATGGTTTGTCATGAATAAATCAACTCCACTTAAGCATAATCTATTATCATAATGATGAAAAAAAATTTGTCACATGGGATTCCTTCTTTTTTTCTCTTTATAAAATTTGGTAAAGCTCGAGGATTAAAACTAAATAGAATTATAAAGAGCTTAAATTCCCTTCCTCTTGTTTTATAAAGAGGAGATGAAACCATGTCATTTGGGATGAGAGACGCACTGACAAATTTCATGGCATTATCTCTGAAAAATAAAGCTGAAACTTATTCTAAAGAACGAAACAAAAATGTAACTGATCTTCTTATCCCCTTACCTGTCTTTGACTTCAGTCGGGCATTTTCTTATCTTCTATGATCGCCGTTGCTCACGAGTCAGTTAAGATAGAATATCTTATATGAATAGGAGTCAGTGTTCAAGACAGAATAAGCAGAATAAAATTCTAATACAATGAAGTAAGGTTCGAGCTTTGTCGTATGGTTCTAAAGTAGGTGTCAAGCTGAGAAAAGACGGAGAATTTTTGAATTCAAAAAAAGAATTCTATATAATAGGAATTTCAAGCCGTAAAAGGCAATGTGAATTCCCACGGATTGCCAGAAAACCACCCCTCCAATGGTAGTATACACTTCTTGACAAATATCTTTTTATCCTTGAGGAAAAGAAATCCTCCACTTAATAATTTGTGGAAAAGTAGTCCAATTATCCTTGTTTGGACAACAACTACTACTACTGACCTCAATCCCCAGGAAATTAGAGTTGGCTGTATGAATCTTTACCATTTCATTTACACTATGTCAATTCAATATTATATAAACGATCAAAGTTTCTTTAACACTAAAAATGCTTCATATTTTTTACGATCATATAAATTCTGACTAGACTAAAAGACTCCTATCGAGCATTGCACCTCAAATACACCTAATAGTACAAATTATCAGAAAGAAAACCTTCCTCTTCTACACCTATAGAATTCAACACCAGTAACAAGAAACAAAGTTCAAAATTGTTGTATGAATAGAACATAAGTGATGGTGGTGTACCTAACATATTGCTACAATGACTTTGATGGGACAATGAGGTAAAGAGTCTCAGTTTCACAATATGATTCTGGGGAGGAATTAAACTCACAAAGCTATGCATGTGAGGATGGACCCCAAGAGCATGTGACCTATTCTTTAATTTTGCCTCAATTTGATATATTACTTTGTAGTTGTAGGGTTGAAGGTTGGGTGTCTTTCAATATTCTTAATGCACTGACCAACTTACCACATGTATACCCATGTTACATGTTATACATACATTGAAATTTAAAGTGATAAAGCCCTAATTTGGAGCTGTCACATTCAATATAATTATATTCAACCCCAATTCTAAAGCATGTTCAAAAACTTAGAATCATGTCCATCCTGAATATTGGATATCAAGAACTCACTGGCCACCTACAGGGTTGACTGAATTGGTTGGACGAGCGATTTCCCACATGGGAGACCTAGGATCAATTCTCCTCACGAGCAGCTTCCTCAATCACAGCTCGTCGCACTGGACTTGCCTAGTACGGTTTACAACTCAGGTGTGAATTGCAAGCTATTGCACAATGAGTAGGTTACCCAATGCGTACCCAAAGGGTAGCGGCTGGGGATATTCCTGAAAACTTTTCACAAAAAAAAAAAAAAAGAA